TTGACAGGTTTTTTAATATCGTTTCTTGTTTATTCTATAGTTTATTTAATTTTTTTTTAATTTTTACTTTGTTGTATATGTTAACTGCTTTTACATTAAGGTCTTTTTTATTTAGTATTTCCGAAGTCAATTGGAAGTACTGAGACTCTTAATTCCTTTGTCCCGACGATTTCGCCAAAGGCGCCGACAAAGACAGTGCCTACACCCAGTATATTCCAACTAACTTCAGATAAACATTTTATTCCCTTTTTCAAAGTTTGATGTCATGTGATTTTGGGCTGTATTTTTTAAACAATGAATAAACCAGTCTGTTTAATTTTAACATTTTTATTACTTCTCCTCGCTATCTTTTACATTGTACAACTTCACAATTTGACATTTTATTTCCGTTTTATTTATTTTATGACTTGTCTAGCTTTATTATTTAATTATATTGCTTTTAAATTTGTATATTTTAATTCGCTATTTTATATTTTTATAATGTTAACGAGTTTTTTATTTTTATATATATTTTAATTTTTCTCATTTAAAAAATACTCAGCTTTGACTAAAGATCTATTATAGGGACCACTTGGAAAAAGGTCTTGGAAAGCTAATTATGGTTTTGATATATTCAGTTGACATGAAAGATAAGTTCCTAGTTTTGCACGGCTGCTCGACCGCCGCTCGACTCAGGAGGACCAAAAGACTTTTTTAAGATTTTCGGCTATAGTTCTGAAATGTTGCGTTCTGGCCAATATTTCATTATTACAAAAAGACCATTAAATTCTGCGTATAATGAGTGTCAATTCGTTCAATTCGGTCCAGTAGTATGACAGAAATCAAAAGATGAAGAATGGTGTTATTTACCAACTTCGCTGATATACGCATTAAAGTGACATTCAAACGTTCGTCACACAGAAATGATCATTCTAAATAATAAACCATACAATGAAACTTGCAGAGCATCAAATTACCATTTTAGTCTATAGGAAATGAAAATTTTCGCGTCCCGTCCAACCCTCCATAAAATTACTTAAGAAGTGGTATTCTGAATTAAACTAATACACAATACATGTACAGGGTGGGTCAAATTCGACGCTTTTAAAGGGCAACACCCTTTTCTATAGGAGATAGACGAAAACTAATATCGGAAGCTGGAGCTCAATTTTTGTCAAAAACATGATGGTGAAAACCGCATATTGATATCTGTTACCGTTTCGGAGTTAAAAATGTGCATTTTTAACAAATCGCGGTAACTTTTTTGCTATAAAAAATTTTGTATTTTTATAAAAACATTTCCAAAGCACTTTTTTACGTAGAATTTAATGGTTTCAGTATAATTTTTTTAAAGTTAATAATTTAAGAGTTATCAACAGAAAATTTAATTTTTTATATAGGACACCCTGTATATTTTTAATTTATTGTAAAGAATTTACAATAACATTTCCAAAAATATAGCACACTTGATATTTTGCTCGATTCCTCTTCGAAATATAGAGTTTATAAAAATTCGTCCACTTTAAATAAGTAGGCTTTGAACGGCGCCGGCTGTAATGTAAAAAATTCTAGCTGTGAGCATCAATTAAAACGAAAATAGATAATATTTGCAATGAGAGATGCAGAATTTTATAACAATTTGAACTGTATTTAACCAACATCAACACATTTAAACTATATCTAGTAACAATAAAAATAAATAGCAAACGAAGACATGAGATTTTGCTACAGGTGTTCGGCATATCGACCGTTTTCTGTTAAGGACAGACGGGGCTGTTTTTGAACATTTCTCGCGGAATTCATTAACTCAATGGGGGTAAAAGATACCGTCTCATAACTGCTAAGCATTTCTAATTCTTGTCTAGATTATACGGGCAATTTAAAAATTAGGACTTTTATTCTTCCGCAAAGATGTCCATAGGATTAGATTCATACACCAAGTCCGGCGGCTTCGACGGCAGACATCTGGGATCTTGGTTAGCTATTCAATTATTCTCGAAATTGGCTGCAAAAAGTTGCTGACAACTTCAGCATTCTGAGGCCGTGCCTCGTATTGCTGGAAAAATATGTTTTCGAGTTTCATTAGGGGTATGTCATCAATAAGGGGTCCAAAGCCTATACTAGTTAAAAGTGGCGAGCTTTTAAAAATTCTGTATTTGGAAGGGGATTATACCAATATATCAAGTGTGCTATATTTTTAGAAAGGTAATTTTAAGTCCTTTTCAGTTAATTGAAAATATACAGGGTGTCCCAAATAAAAAATCAATTTTTCTGTTGATAACTCTTAAATTATTAATTTTAAAACAATTATACTTAAACCATTAAATTCTACGTAAAAAGGTGCCTTCGAAATGTTTTCATAGAAATACAAAATTTGCCATAGCAAAAAAATAGAGCAATTTGTTAAAAATATACATTTTTAAAAAACACCCCGTAACTCCGAAACGGTAACAGATATCGATATCACCAATATCACCATCATGTTTTTGATCAAAATTGAGCTCCAGACACCGATATTAGTTTTCGTCTATCTCCTATAGAAAGGGGTGTTTCCCTTTAAAAGCGCCCAATTTGACCCACCCTGTACATTTAATTAACATTAAAATTATTATATACTAAATTTTTAATATATACGAAGTATTCTTCTAAAGCCATAATCACGATAATGTCTATATCTTCATTGCGGGTTCATTCTTGAAAAAATTCGCCATTGAAATAGAAATCTAAAAAATAAGAGTTTTTTTGTAAAATACCACTGCGTCTAATCCAGACGGAAACTAGCTTGTCAGTAACTTTTTACATGTAAAACAAATTTGTCTAAACAAATGTTGTGCCTGGCAAATTTGTTTTATGAGTAAAAAGCAACTCACAAGCTTGTTTGCGCTTGCATTCTACGCAACGCAAATTACCAAAAATTACTTTTTCATTTTTTAGATTACTCTTCCAACAGTTTTTTTTCACGGAATCATGGCATATTCTTCCAAATACGCTTTAAAGTCGAGGGCCCATAGACGCTCACATTTGGTTCACAAACCTCTTTCAAAACTGACTTGTTATTGTTTGACATTTTGGCAGAGATCGTGATATCTTCTCCGTAATATGTAACGTAAAAACCGAATTGGGCCTTACTGAGTTCTGAGTTATGAGTATCTGAAGCAATTGTAATATATACCTGATCTAGATCTTCATTGAACAACTGCACGTTTTCTTCGCACCCTTCCTAGGTTTCATTGGTGCTATTTTTGAAGTAGTAGGTGCTAATGCTATGAATAGAACCAACAGATCTGTGTCCTCTCCAACAATTTTTACTGGTGAATAACTCAGTGATAAATCAATTGCAGTCGTAACAATGAGTCTATCAGCATCTTCCTCTGCTACTTTTACAATAAATCCTTCATCTAACTTTTTATAAAGCAAGCTAATTAGACGTTTCTTATCATGGTCGTTGGATAAGAAATGCCCTTTTGAAGCGGTAAAACTAGTAGAAATTAACTTAAAGCATCAGTTTTGGCTATACAGCTGAATCGAATTGAGCGAATTGATACTCATTCCACGCAGAAGTGTTGGACGACGAAACGCGAAAATTTTTATTTTCTCGACATGTATCACTTGATGTACAATTCTTATTTTGTGCTCAGTAACTTTTATTGTACGGTTTTTTATTAGAATGATCGTTTCCGTGTGACGAACGTTTGAATGTCACTTTAATGTGTTTATCAGCATCATAGGTAAATATCACCATTCTTCATCGTGCGATTTCTTCCATAGTACTCGACCGGATTGAACGAATTGATACTCATTATACGCATAATTAATTGTTCTTTAATTTTTGTAATATCAAAATATTGGCTATATATATATATAATATTGACTATAGAAACAATCTAAAAAAAGTCAAAGAATTATACCATCTTTTGGTACTCCTAAGTCGAGCGGCGGTCGAGCAACCGTCCAAAACTAGTATACTTATCTTTCATGTAAGGTCCGACCGAACCTGAATTTTTAGTCTCGGCCGAGACTGAGACCGAGAAAAAAATAAATTCTCGGCCGAGAACGAGTCCGAGACCGAGACATAATGCAGTATTTATTTAATAGTTTATTATAGAAAAAAAAATATGATAATAATGTAATAAAAACGTTATTTTCATGCAGAAAAGGATTTATTGGAATTTAATACATATAAAATTACTTTTTTAGTCTATGTCCTATGTTATAGGCTAAAAAGTATTTTTTCGGCATTGCATTTTTTCAAATTATGCAGTGTTTCATCATATTATTTCTAAATAGAAGCTTGTTGGTGGTGCAGACTAGAATTTTACAAGCTGCTGGTTTCAAAAATTTTACTTATTAGTGTGATAAACGAGTAACTCATATAAAAGAACAATTCTGTTAAATTTATAAAACTTACATTAATAAGACACTAACATCTAACATTTCGTTGAAGGCGATTCTTTAGCCGTCAGGGAAATCCCCCTCGTGATTCAATCAGATCATATATGGATCAGATTGAACCATTCTTATTTTTTTCGACTTCGGAAGAGTATTTCATTCATCCACGCATCGATATGTGGAGCGATACTCTCAAAAATAAACTAATTTGACGATTGTGAGCACTCTCGGCCGTGGCCGATAATGCAGGCCTTTTTATGCCGAGAACGATACCAAGATCTCGGCATGTGAAATAGCTGAAAATTACTGTAACCGAGACCGAGACCGAGATCTCGGTCGGATCTTACTTTCATGTCAACTGAACAAATCGAGACCATAATTAGTTTTCCAACACTTTTTTTCCAAGTGAACCCTCTAATTTGATTGGCCTATAAAGCCTTGTTAACACGGTCAATGCTTATTTGGATGGAAAACACTTGAATGCTGTTTGGACCGTACCAACTGATTTAAAATCGGTTGATACGATTCTAGCGGCATCCAAATGAATTTTGACCGTGTCAACTAGACTTAAGGAAATTTTACGTATTGTATTAAAATTGAAATATCTGTCAAACTTTTTGTAATTTACTTACCCTAAAACTAATTGCTCCATTGCAATTAACATCAAATGCCTTGAACACGTAATGGGCGTATAAAGTAGCATCTAAAAAAATGGTATAGTTTTATTTCTTTGTCATTTAAACTGTTGGTTTTGTAAATTAAGGAATGTAATATCTTCAACTCTTTACTATAGTAAATGCCACGAATGTTTGGGAGTGATTCATCGCTTGATGAAGTTAGAATAGACACGCGCGCTATCATTTTTACATTAAAAACGTAAATTTTTACCGCAGGCGTAGGTTTTTAAAGGCCCGGTCTAATCATCTGCCTACGATCCTCCTATTTATTCTAAAATGTTAGCGTGATTGACAAAGACGATACTATATCGCGTTTCTTTAATTGATTCGTTTTTGTGCGTCAGTCCATTGGTGTGCTTGCAGTGCGACCAATGGGGCATTCCATTTTATATTTATAACCAAATATATGTTTTGACAAGAGGTTGACAGTTAAAAAACAAATTACAACAGATTATATATTGATTATTATATGACTTGAAACACCACGGCACTGGAATTAAGTTTTAAGTGACGTTGAACAGATTAGTTCACATGGTTGCGACCGATGAATCACTCCACAAACATTCGTGGCGTCTACTATACATACTTACTTCCATGCGGGAAGAATTTGGAATAGATTTCCTTAAAGCTATCTTCATGAACAACACCTTCCGGACATTCCTGAAAATAATTAAAATAAAATATGTATTATTTTTTTCTCATTCCACCACAGAGGGCACTGGTATTGGTGTATTACAGTAAATGACTGATTTCTTGTCAAAAAACTTATACTAACAAATTTAATACCATTCTAAATAGCAAGAATAGTATTCCTTATTTACTGAATAAAAAAATAATAAAAAATAAAATTATCATACCAACCAACACAAATATTTTGGTATGTCATACGAACTATCACAGTGGAAAAATTTAAATAAAAAATTTGTATATTAAAGGTGGCCTCGGTCGGCTGCTCCAATTAAAAAAAGTTTAAAAACGTGAAACCAATTATAATTTTTGGCCATTAAAAATTTATAGGCATATAATATAAGAAAATTACTATAAAACAGTTACCAAATAAATTGTAAAATAACCTGACTGCTAATTATCGGATGCCGATCTCGTTGCAATGGTCTATAGAAAATACAAATTTTAACCAAGGTATTAAAATTTACAATACATTTTTTCTTATTTATATTATCTGATTCAATTTAACCTATTTGAGAAATATTTTATACGCAATTCCGCGATAACGGTTCAAAAATAATTTAAATATATTATAGGTAATACGTAGATTATACAGGGCGTCCCAGAAATAAGTGCAAGTATTTTAACTGTTAGTTATAGTTCAACGCCAGAAACACGCCTGAGGTTTTTTTCGCGAAATTTTTTTCTTGAAAATTCGAAATTTTTTGAAAAATTTTTTGGATTTTTATTTAGTTTTTAGTTAAAAACATAATTTCTTGATCATTTGGCAACATAGGTATTAGATTAAATTTACAAGAATGAAAATCCAGAAAAGATCCAGTGGTTCTCAAAATTTTAGCAAAAAATCATTTTTTTGGAAATTTTCAAAGTAAAATAACTCCGTTATTTTGTCTCAAAATTTTAGCAAAAAATCATTTTTTTTTAAATTTTTAAAGTAAAATAACTCCGTTATTTTGGACTTATTTGAAAAACCATAAAGAGAAAATATGTTTCTTTTATCGAGATCTACCACCCCTTAAAATACTTGCACTTATTTCTGGGAATAAAAATAGGATTTTGACTGGGGGTAGGCAACAACGCCTTTTGTGGGCATTATATGCACACTACTGCTATTTTAAATTGAAACCTCTATTCTCTACAAAAAGAAACTTAGTATAAAGTTTTCTATTTTAAAATGCAAAACTTATTGTAATATTTTGTTTGATTTTAATATAATCAGCATTGTATTTATACTAAATTATAAAAACTTATAACGAAGGATTTCTGTTAATACTTTGTAAAAATAAAAGTAAAGTTGCAAGTTTAGTCCCCCGCCGAGTTTACCTGATGCTAGTTCGAAAACAACCTGGTACAATATCTAGACATTACCGGAGCTTTATCTATTTAAATAAAATTATTTATGTATCTTGAGCAACTATCGAGCAGCCACCCCTATAGTCTAAGAGGCAGCGCCGAAAAAAAATTCTGAATTTACCAAAGAATTTACCAATTTTTAGACAGTTGAATACAGTAGTTATGTACATACATATACCACGGTCAGTCAGTCAGAACAGGAACCTCGGGGATGTGGTCAAAGTTGTGAAGATAACTTAGGTAATGCAACGAATTTACTAAGGCTGCGATTTTCAGTATTATATATTATACATAAATAACGGCAATGTTAGTCAGTCAGCTGAATATACGTAAAAAAAATAATATATTGATTAATATTTATTAATATTTGATTGGGGGTCATAATTTTATTGGCGGACATCGATCAATGTCAAAATTTAAATTATTATTATTATATAAATTATATATAATTATTTTTTTACCTATATTGGGGACGACTGACCAGCACTGTTCCGCTATTCAGCTGACTGACTAACATTGCCATTATTTGTGTATAATATATAATAATGTATAACGATTTTCAGCCTTAGTAAATTGGTTGCATTACCTAAGTTATCTTCACAACTTTGACCACGTCCTAGCAGTTTCTGTTCTAATTTTCGCTTGACTGACAGCGGTATATGTACCGGGTGTCCCACTAAGAATAGCTCTCGGCTGTATCTCGGAAAGTATTAGCCGTAGGGCTTACGGAAAAAAATATTTATAACTAAAGGGGCTATGAGAAATTGCTGGAAATTATTTTCAAGTTTGTAAAACGGCCGCTAGGGGGCGCAACTGCTGTGGAAAATAAGAAAATAGAATTTTTACAGAATTTTGCCTAGATAATGGGCACTATAAATAATAGCTTCATAATCTTCAGTAAATTTTGGATTTTCTTTTATTAGATCAACATTTTGATAGTCTTAGCAGCGTTTTTTATCTTTTAATTGCTTTTTTTAAAATACCTTCATTATTTGAAGTAGTTGAAGTTGTTGGCATTTTGAAAAAGCAATCAAAAGATAAAAAACGCTGCTAAGACTATCAAAATGTTCATCTAATAAAAATTGTTTATACTATTACGTGAAAAGCAACTTTTTTCCAAAGCCTACCATGACTTCACTGAATCATCGTTTCTTGTTCACTGTTATTAATATCTTAATTATTAGATATTAATAATACCTGTGGTATTATGGTACTTCGTCGATTTGAAAATTAACTAACTGTTTCTATCTTATTTTTTATTGGAATGGGCATAATCAGGAGGGCTACTGATACCGTGTTGTAAAAATAAGATAATTAAGGGCTTATTTTTTGGTATTTATTATAATTTTGCTAATATCTTCGGTTTGAAAGAAGATATCAAGATGCGGTTTTTGCTACTCTTTACTAACAGTTAAAATTACATATACTATTGCATTTAATGTTTTTGAAAAAACGCGCAATGTTTGTTAAATTTTTAGTTTGTTTGTAAGACAACGCCCCCTAGCGTCTACGTTCAAAAGCATATTATTATTGTTTATATGGTATAATATAGAATAAGAAACGCTCTTTTAAACGAGCCCTAGGTTGTTGGATTTCGATCATCCAGTCCAGAGTTATTAATATTTAAATAAAAACAGATCTAACCTTCCCCCACCACTTTATTTTGGTAGATAGGGGAAAATCGCTCTAACAAAATATATTCAAAATTTACTGAAGATTATGAAGCTATGACTTATAGTATACCTTATTTAGTCAAAATGGTGTAAAAACTCCATTTTCTTATTTTTTGTTGCAGTTGCGCCCCCTAGCGGTCGTTCTACAAACTTGAAAATAATTTCCAGCAATTTCTCATAGCCTCTTTAGTTATAAATATTTTTTCCGCAGCCCCTACGGCTAATACTTTCCGAGATACAGCCGAGAGCTATTCTTAGTGGGACACCCTGTACATACATAACTACTCTAATCAACTATCTAAAAACTGGTTTTGGTAAATTCAGAATTTTTTTTTCTTTGGTGGCTCTTCATCTACTAGGAAGACCATTGCAAACTACTTTGACTACATTTGTCTAGTAGATCCCCTCAAATAATAGAAATTCGTAAAAATAATTACAGGGTGTCCCATTTTTGTGTGTTTTGTGGATTTCTCGTTTATGAGTATATATGTTGGAGGCAGATGCCAAATTTCGGTCAATGTCCAAAATAATTAGACATATAACGATTTGTCCATACTAAACTTGCCAGGGGGTTAATCTTTTTTTTTTTTTGGTATAATATAACAACAAAAGATTAACACCCTCCGCATAGAAGTTGAAACCAATGCAATCAAAACTCTTCCGCGTAACATTGTGGATATAGCTAGGTATATTTAATTATAATCGCCATATGTCTAATTTTCGGCATCTGCCTCCAACATATACAAAGATGCAGTTTTCACATCACTGTGTTACTTTTTTATAATACTAAAGATGCTATACACAGATTCTAGTTTTTCTAAAAGATAGGCGATACAAATTAAAAAAATGCAAAAATGCTTAATTAAATCCTTCTCTTGTAAAGTTATTCAATTTAATAAGTTTATATATATATTTGATATAAATGCTTTTGTACAAAAATTTCAATAAATGTATCAGATAATAATAAAATAAATAAATATCAGATAAAAAATCGACATTTGGTATGTTAGTTGGTTGTTAGTGTTGTTTGGTTGTTATTTGTGTAATGTTTTGGATTATCTTTTGTTTGTTTGTTTGTACCTTGTTTGTTTACTTTGTTTTTTTAGTTTTCCTTTGTCTACAAATTTTAAAATTTTTTGACAATAAAGGCATTTATTTATTTAGTATATAATCTAAATTAGGATTGATTGACGTACTCAATTATTTTCGGTCACTTCCTATTTCACCGGAAATTACCACAACTTTTGATTTTTAAATGGCACCCTTGGTATTTTTTTTTATTGACATATCATATGTAAAATTTTAACATTTTCGGATAAGGTTTATATGAAATTGCAACATGCGATTCATAACGATAATTTCACTCGAAATACCAAGTGTGGTACCAAATTATTCGCAAAAAATGCTTTTTCGAAATATGCTAATAAGCCACCCTCATTCCATTTAAAAAAATTGAGATAAGATTAAAAATACGATATGGGCATCTTATAACCGACCAGGACAAAACACTAAAAACATCAAATCAAATCTATTTTTCCAAAGCTCCTGGATTAAAAATTAGTGTTTTTGACACAGTCATGACACTTTAGATTGATATTTAAAATACAGTTTTGTTTTAAGCGAATATGTAAAAAGTTGACATATGATATGTCATTCTACTCAGGGTGTCATTTTTTATCGAATAAAGTAAAAAGATACCGAGGCCGAGGGTGCCATTTAAAAATCAAAAGTTCTAGTCATTTCCGGTAAAACAGGAAGAAACAGGAAGTGACCAAAAATAATTGAATACGTCAATCAATCCTAATTTATGTCATATACTAACATACCAAGTCACTTATTTTTATCTGAACAAATAAAAAAAGTTCTAGGGATGAGCCACTTTTGAGACGCACCCGGTATATTTTTTAAATCTAAAAGTTCTCTAAATTGCTATTAGTACTATTCACTTACCGTCTTAAACCCCCTGTACATAATTCTGATTTCTTGTCTTGTAAACTTCGTAAGTCTGCATAAATCTTCTAGGGCCACTGGAATGGGCTTTGGTACCCTGGACGGTTCAATTTCAAACACTACTTCTTCTATTGGACTGTCAGATGGCGTTGCCATAGTTTCAAATTTGGAAACTCAAATGTGCCTTATTTTTCAACACAGTTAAGGGGACACGTGGTGGAAAACCAAAGCCAATTTTGGTTTGGCATGCTTTAATTTGAGGTAATGAAAGCTTGAATTCATTTTACGGCAGTATGCAATTTGTTTTTATTATTCATATGTAGCCTAAAAGAGAATAGTACTCATTATAAAATATATTAATAGAGTTTCGTTGTTAATACGATAGCGCCATTATTCAACAGTGTGTGGACCATTATTGTATAAGTTAATATTATTGTATCAGTTAAAAACAACCGTTATTTCTATTTCGTTAAAAGGAGCAAAATACAATACTGCTTATGAAATAGAGGGACAATCCTTTGTTTAACTATGCAATATTAATTTTAATATGCATATGAAGCATCGATTATTTTAAAACTATAATTTTGAAGTTGTGTTATATACATCAATGATATACATGAATTCGATTTGGTAAAGATATTGATAATATTATGGTAAAATTTGGAAATTTGTTAATTTTTTTAATAATATTTAACCTTCAACTGGCGTGGTGAATTTTTGTAACGCTTATGGCTTGCTGGGGTCCGCCGGACCCCATTTTTTTTTCAGTTTAAAATACATGATGAAGAGATTTTATAAAAAGCTTGTTATTTTAACACTGTTTACAATATATTCAAACTTGTGAACCAACAATTTCATTAATTTTCAACAAATTAATAAGAATGGACACAAAAATAAAGTAAAGCGCATCTTTTAGGAACTTTTGACAACAGAAATATAACTTGGCTAAGAAACCCATAGAAATTAAAAACATATATATTTTATGATTTTACCGTATTATTAAAAGTACAAGCAACTGAAATGTGAAGCTAAAGTAATAAACATAAATTATTTTCAACAAAACTGCAAACCTTGAATGTACATAACTTTTTCAAATACAGTTCATGCTAATATAGGATCTGCATTTGCCGCACATGGATCGTGCACACTTGATTCATGAGATTTTTGTTTTTTTTTTGTCATTTCTTCATTGACATATGGTGCCATATACCACATCTTTCTTTTCTGGTATTGATTATTCAATTTTCTCTCTTCTATAAGTAAGAGATTCAGAATCGGAGTTATGGTTACTCTTCGGAGAAAAATCAATGTCTCGATGGTCTTCATCTCACTTAAGCCTCTTTAGGTTCATCAAACCACTCAATTAATGCTTCCTCAAAATTAGCGTCCCAGTGAGGCACACTTTTTAGACTAGCCTCCTAATATTGTAACATTCTTGGCGTGGTGGTGTCACACAGACCCCAATGAAACTTTGGCCCTCGCTGGTAGGAACACTTGATAAAATCAAGTGCGCCTTTAACAGTTGCATATTGGTACACTAACTTAAAGGTAAGTGGCACGGCGATGCCTAATTCTTAAACGTAAACATTTTACAGAGGTTTAAATAGTGCTTGGGATCCGCTGGACCCCACCACGCCAGTTGAGGGTTAAATCGACATCATCAAGATATTCGAAAATTTATATAGAAAATACTCCACTATTTTTCGCGTTAATTTACATTCTGTATTATTTCATTAATTATGTCTAAATCGAGGGGTGTCTCACTAGGGTAAAAAATGCACAGGTATTGCCAAAATGTCATTTTATACAAGACTGACAGTGACTGCCGACGACTGCCAGTGACTGCCAAATACTGCCAGCGACGGCTAACGACTGCCAACGACTGCCAGGGACTGCCAACGACTGCCGGCTCAGCGGTATCTTAAGTTCCGGGCCTGTGTCGACCCTTGACATATATTATTTATCAACACATCAACAGGGTGGGCCAAATTGGACGCTTTTAAAGGGAAACACCCTTTTCTGTAGGAGATAGACGAAGACTAATATAGGTGTCTGGAGCTTAATTTTATCAAAAACATGACGGTGAAAACCGGACATAGATATCTGTTACCGTTTCAGAATTACGGGATGTTTTTCAAAAAAGTGCATTTTTAACAAATCACTGTAACTTTTTTGTGCTACAGAAAATTTTGTATTTTTATGAAAATATTTCCAAAGCATCTTTTTATGTAGTATTTAATGGTTTAAGAATATTTTTTTTAAATTAACAATTTAGGAATTATGAATAGAAAATTTGATTTTTTATATGGGACACCCTGTATATTTTTAATTCATTGAAAATAATTTAACTTGATATTTTGCTCGATTCCTCTTCTCTCGAGATATACAGTTTGTAAAAATTCGCCCACTTTGAATAAGTAGGCTTTGAACGGCGGAATAATATTTGCAATGACAGATGCAGAATTTTCTAACAATTTAAATTACATTTAACAACATCTTCATCTTCTAGTGCAGATCCATTAATGGATTAATGGATGATGATGCGATAACATTTTCCATTGCTTCTCTGTTCCGGGCGGTGTGTATTAACGACCGAACATCGAGTAGCCCTGTCCACTGTCTAATATTCCTCAGCCAAGACATTTTCTTCCTTCCGATATCCCTCCGGCCATCGATCTTGCCTTCTATCAACAAATGCAAGAATTGATATTTGGGGTTTCGCATTATGTGCCCCAGGTATGCGGTTCTTTTCTTTTTAATCAATTAACAACATCAACACATTTAAATTATATCTAATAACAATAAAAATTAATATCAAACCAAGATTTGAGATTTTGGTTGTTCGATATGTCAACCGTCTTCTGTTATGGACAGACGGGGCCGTTTTTGAACATTTCTCGCGGAATTAATTAACTCAGTGGGGATGAAAGATACCCTCGCATAAGTAGTTCTAATTCTTACCTAGATTATATATGGGCAATTTAAAAATAAGAACCTTTATTCTTCCGCAAAAATAAAAATCCATAGGAAATAAGTCCGCCGCGCCGGCCTCGATATCCAACGCCTGGGATCTTGGTTAGCTATTTAATTATTCTCGAAATTGGCTGCAAAAATTTGCTGATAACTTCACCATTCTGAGGCGGTGCCTTGTCTTGCTGGAAAAATATGTTTTCGTTTTCGGTTTTTTCGAATATACAGGGTGTCCCAGAAATAAGTGCAAGTATTTTAAGGGGTGGTAAATCTCGACAAAAAAAAACATATTTTCTCTTTTTAGTCGACCATACCAATAGGCTATTAGGATCCGCAAAAAATTTTTTTTTATATTCACTCAAAATGAGTTATTTGGGTCATAAATGACCTAAATACAAAATATTTTCGTGGTGTCTGTCTGTCTGTCTGTCTGTCTGTCTGCCGTCTGTAACACGATAACTCAAAAACCGCTGAACCGATTTTAACCATATTTGGCACAAAAATACTGTGGCACCCGAGAATCTGGCCATTAGTTTTTGGTGGGGGTGGGTGGTTGGTAAGGGGGTATAGGGGTTAAAAATTTAAAAAAATCGTAACTCCAAAATTACAGTAGCTAGCGAAACGCGGTTTTCAAATTAAGATTAGGAATAATATTTGCAACAAAATTTGTAATAACATCAAAATCAGTCAAAGTCGCAGTTTTCGAGATATTGACATATTTTAGTATGGGCGGCTATACGTGCCTCCCGGCGCCAATTTTTCATTTTTCAAATAAGTCCAAAATAACGGAGTTATTTTACTTTGAAAATTTCGAAAAAACATGATTTTTTGCTAAAATTTTGAGAATCGCAGGATCTTTTCTGGATTTTTTTTTCTTGTAAATTTAATCTATACCTATGCTACCAATGTTGCCATATTATCAAGAAATTATGTTTTTTAATTAAAAACTAAAAAAAAATCCAAAAAATTTTTCAAAAAATTTCGAATTTTGAAAAAAAAAATTTTCGTGAAAAAAACCTCATAGGCGTGTTTCTTGGGTTGAACTATACTACCAGTTGAATTAGTTGCACTATTTCTGGGATACCCTGTATATAGCGGGTGTTTCAAAAAGCATGTGCCATCTTTCGTGGGCAGATTCCTCACGTAAAAATAAGATTTATTTTTCATACCAACATAGGTCCGATTCTGCTTTGTTTTGTACCTAGAGGGTGTTAAAGTCTTAATATTTTTTCGATTTATTGTAATTTTCTTCCAAATGCTTTTAGCGATTCGAATGAAATTTTGAGGGTAAAAGTTACTATTAATGCGATATATTTTAACGCTAAAAAAGTGTCAACATATTCACCAGGGACGTGCATACGGGTTTTCTCTGGAATATTTTTCTAAAAAAAGCATGTACGCCACTGCCTTTTTCTTCTCTTGTTAGCGCAATAGTGTAAGCCGTTTAATGCCGATTAAAAGTTGTCTCTTCATATTTTGTCCATTTCGCTTTTCATTTGATTCAAGTCTAATAGCAACCTTTATAAAAATTTAATATCATTAACTTGCAAAAGTTTTAAAAAGTACTTTTTGATTCCTCATCAAAAAATATGAAAAGTTATTATAAACATTGCTATGGAAATGCATAGTTTCATAATTACAGGGTGTTAAAAATTTTAAAATTATTTTTTTTTGTAATAATTATCTTAAATATCATTATTTTTTTATTTGAAATTGCTGTATGTTGGACTAATGGTAATGATAACTAACAGTAATAATATTTAATAATAAATTAGGTAAAAATATAATTTATTAATTTTATTAATTGTGATTAATAAAATTGCGTTTATCTCATCCAGGAGGCCGAAATGGGCAAATTATCAAGAGATAACTTTTAATTGGCATTGAACGGTCTACACAATTTAGATATCAAACGAAAAAAGTCAGTGGCACATGTTTTTTTTTGAAAATATCCCAGTGATAACCCATATGCACGTCCCTGATGCATTTATTAACACTTTTTTAGCATTAAAATATGTAGCATAGTAACACCCTCAAAATTCCATTCAAATCACTTAAAGTACTCGGAAGGAAATTATAATAACTCGAAAGATTATTAAGACTTTAACATCCTGTAGCTACGAAACAAAGCAGAATCGGAACTATGTTGGTATGAAAAATAAATCTTATTTTTACTTGAGGAATCTACCCATGAGAGATGGCACATATTTTTTAAAACACCCTGTATAATTTTTGTTTTTCGATTAGGGGCAGATCATCAATAAGAGGTCCACAGCCTACTAGATAAAAGTGACGAACTTTTAAAAATTCTGTATTTCACGGGGACTATAACAAAATATTAAGTGTGCATATTT